CCTTTGGCCATTAATTCAGACGTGGAATTGGTACCTACCCTGTGCTTGCTCCGTTTCTTAACTGGGTGACTGATCAAGAGTTCGCTTTGGATCAAGCATAGTAAAAGTCCCTGTTGTAAAGTCTTTGTTAAATCATTCCTGAATTGGGCTCAATATCAGAAATGGTGGACTTTGAAGCTCTTAAAGTGTAGCTGTTATGAGAAAGGTGACAGTCCTGTAGAATACTTCCTCCTACAGTTTCCCTCAGAACTTCTTTTCTATTAGATTCAAATCCATTCTAGAAAAGTCGGAATTTAAAATATCTCTTTTTTTTTTTTCTTTTACATTTTTTCATTGTATTGGAAATGACGCCAGAGTGCTAAAACTACACAGAAACATTAGGATGTTCTTTGATTTCTTCACAAAGTCTGAACAGATGGTAGAAGCCCCATCTGGAATTGTTAGCTTACAAAAAGTGGTGTGCTAGCAGAGGCACTGCTTTCCACCTCGCCTTCCCTCTTGTACCAACTGGGAGGCTCAGTCCCAGAAGCATGGAAAACGCAGAAGTTAGGCTCTTCAGAAAGTCAGTTTTGTCTCCCATAAAGACAACAAATACAACAGTTAAGAAACTTGTTCCACTTTTCTGCCCCCTATATTCCTATCCCCCATTTGGGAGATTGTTGTTTGCTCCTTAGCTGGGCGCTATATAAACTGGTTTATGGTGGTTATTTGCATGATGTGAGTGTGGTGCTGTGTCAGGAATCCTCCCAGGGCACAGCTGGCTTAAGAAACTCCCATCTTCTGGCCACTGGAGCAGAGCAGAAATATTCCTGGCCTCTGTAGGAGTGCATCGCACCTTCACGTTGTGCTGACTGAATCGCTTATGCCGTTGTTCTCTGAGTAGCATCTGAGAAATGGTCTGGTTCGGGGAAAAAAAGAAATGAAACCAGTCCCTTAGAAAATAAATGTACCTCCCCCCTTCTCTGGTGAGGCAACAGTTTTGCTTTGACAGTGGCCAGGCAAACAGCTGAATGAACAACTGGCGGAGAGGAAATGAACTGGAGAGTGCAAAATCCTCTCAGGCGGGCTCTGAGACCAACGGCTCCTGAAGCGCCGCTGCACCTGGACTCTGCTCTCCAGAGTGTGTCCATGTTTCGCTGTCACAAGTTTAAAAAAGCAAACCCTGTCATGTGAGTGAGGACACCCCAAAGTGCTGCGAATCTGGGCTTCCAAGGTCTGAGTCAGCTTTGGAAACGGGCTAGACGCTCTGCTGTGGTATTGTCAGCACTTGCACACTCATTCTTGCAAAAACACACCCTAAAAATGATGTCACGTTTTCTTCTGTTAAACACATTTACCTAAAACATCTCAGCTCTGAGCCCAAGCGCGAACTACAGTGTTTTGGGAATAGACCAAATATCTGACGCACACGCTAATATGTGGATTTTATGCACAGCTGACTCTGAAGCTGCTTCGGTGTTGAGCTTCTGCCAGCTCTCGCAGAGGACTGCTATAATCTTGCAAAGTTCTGGATTTGAGTTGTAATATGAGTAGCCCTATTGTATCTCAAGCAGAGGATACATTACTGGAATTCCGTGTGCAGGCAAAAATGTTAGTTTTGGAACTGTGTCGTTTATTTTCGTGGAAAAGTTGTCTATCTGGCAGCTGTCAGAAGTTGACTTTGTAAGGGGAAGGCACAAATGGATCCAGCTCCTTTCAATCTATTTCTGTGTGTAATTTAACAACCATATAGATCATGGGCAAGTTTAAAACTTACTTGAGGTTTGGTGTGTTGGGGGTTTTGTTTGTTTGTTTGTTTGTTTTGTTTTTTAACAGGTTATCTTTTATTCATGATTCTCCTACAATTTCCAGACAGATATTAACAGATTCATATTAAAGATCAGCATCTGTACCTGTAACTGACACCTGGAACATAGTTTTATGACTAGGCATTCAGGATACTATTTTAAAGTTTTCCCTAGAAAGGAATCTTCCTTCTAATTTTCTTATTTTTTCCCCAACTGTGACAGGAGGTGAGAAAACATTCTGAAAGGTGAATTCAAGCTATAGAATATAATTTATTTTTCTAGGTCTGTCTCATGTACAACTGACAGATTATATCTGGAATTGCTAGGTGACTTCAACTCATATTACACCAGTTTTTATTTTAAACATTCCTTATCTGATCACAGTTTCCATTGTAAGTGTCATTTGCTCTTTGATGCCTCATCTTAGTTTTGAAAAGACTGGAATTGATGGATAAATGTCCTTAAATGTCCTGCCTTTGTTAAGCAGGTGAGCAGAGTATCTCAGCTTAGTGCCTGCTTAGTTATGCTAACCTGCTCCCCAAAATTACAAGTAGATAGACACAAGAGGATGATTAAACTAATTACCAGGACAAAACTATTCTTGTGCTGACTGATCTAACTAAAAGCTTACGTGCAACTATTCAGCATGAGTAATATGCTTAGCATTACACAATGCACAGAAAAAAAAAAAAAAGTAGAAGGAACTACTGAATTGTGTGTTTAGAAAAATAAGCATCACAAATTTTTTATCTGGTTACTTTAAGTGTTCTATACTGCTTATACGTGATCACTTCAGTTCATACGAATCCTCATGCGGGGAGAAAAAAAGGAATTGTGCTCAGAGCCAAGGAGCAAATGCCAATTTTAAACTGGGAACGCACTTAGCCATGGGCAGAAAACGTTTTGGAGGAATGCTCCTAACCACAAGCAGCACCACCAGTGCCAGCAAACACTGTGTTTGTATGGACACGCAAGCTTGCAGTTCTGAAAGATAAGGCACCCTGCACCCGTGCAGGCAGCTGTGAATTTATCTTCAGAACCAGAGCCTCCCCTGCACACCGCGTTGATCCTGGGCGCCAATGGAGGGCAGGCAGGGCAGGCAGGGCAGGGCAGGGCAGGGCAGATGGGCCGCGGGGCCTGGCGCTGCCGGGGACGCCGGCCCCATGGCTCGCCCCGCCGGCCTCCTCGCTGCGAGCTCTGGTGAGCCAGCAACAACCGCAAGCGGCTGATGGGTTCTTTTTTTAGACAGACCAAACTTTGCCTCCGCTGGACAATTATTTTCTAATCACTTCTGCGCGGCAAGGGGAAGGGAGACACCAGGCCCCGCGCCCCTGCCAGGCCGGGCGCGTCCCCCGGGCCCTCCTCAGGCGGCGGCGGGGCCGTGCCCAAGCTCGCTCTCTCCTTTTTAGGCCGTCCCTCTCGCTTCGGTTACCCGATCCTGCCCCGAGAATGAAGCCAGCAGCTGGGCCTCCTCCGCCGGCCGCGCACGGAGGGGGCCAGCCCATCCCCGCACCGCCCGGCCCGGCCCGTCCCCACTCCCCCTCAGGCGCTGCCCCGGCCCGGGGATGGGGGGGGGGGAGAGGGCAGTGCGCGCATGCGCCGCACCTTGTTTACCCGTCTCGGCGCGGCCCTGCCGCGGGCGGCCGGCAGGTGTCGCCCCACGCCCAGGAGAGCCGGGCGGGCCCGCTGGCCGCCAGGTGGCGCCTGCGCCCTCCATTCGCTCGCCAGCCGCCGAGCAGCGAACACCCCAAACAATCCCCAGCGCCGCCGCCAAACTAAATAACCTGCC